CCAGCTCCCATCCTCAAGACTTTCCAAAAGTCCCTTCAAACATTCCTACCACTCAGGAAATTCCAAGGGTTTTAGGAACTTTGTGTCAGGAACTGGAGACAAAGACCAAATATATTTCTTATACTATAATATTACACACACACACACACACACACACACACACCATATGTACATTGAAGTCAAAAGAGGACTTAAAGGTATAGCAATTATAGTCCTAACAGAAACTCTACCTGCATAAACTCTCTTCCACCTGCCTTCCTTAAAATAACTGACAGGTAAATGTTTGCAATCAGGTCACTTGACTCAGGGTATTTCTGAAAATAGAAGACGGGCTCCAAGCATGAGACTGAGCAGTCACATCCTGAAGCATTTGGAAACAGATGAGCTCACTTTTTTTTAATCCTCACCTGAGGATATTTTTTACATTGATTTAATATATATATATTTTCGAGGCCTGGTGCATGAAATTTGTGCATGGGGGAGGAGGAGGGTCCCTCAGCCTGGCCTGCACCCTCTCACAGTCAGGAGCCCACCCGCTGCAGCGCTGCTGCCAGGTCACCTGGGCCTCCCTCTGGGGGGCGATCATGGGGCAATGACCGGGCCCTCGACCAATGGCATCGCACCCGCCTTGGCTGGCCTGGCGCCAGTGGGTGTCATAGTGTGGTTGTCCAGAAGGTCGTTCCACTGTTCAGCCGTTGGGTCGATTTGCATGTTACACTTTTATTATTATAGTTACTTCAGAGAGGAAAGGAGAGGGAGATAGAAACATCAATGATGACAGAGAATCATCGATTGGCTGTCTCTATGCCTGCAATCTGGGCATGTGCCCGGATCTAGAATTGAACCATGACTTCCTGGTTCATGGGTTGATGGCTCAACCACGGAGCCATACTGGCCTGAATCCATTGATTTTTTTAGAGGAGGTGGAGGAGAGGAGTGCAGAAAGAGAGAGAAACATCAATGTGAGAGAGACACGTCGATTGGTTGCCTCCTACATGCTCCACAGCCAGTGCCGGGATTGAGCCTGCAACTCAGGTATGTGCCCTTGACCAAGGGCCAAAGCTCTAATCACTTAGCCAAACCGGCCAGGGACAGATGGGCTCACTTTTAAGAAAAGTCTTCTACAGCCATAATAAACAGACTGATGTCAGATAAACATTTCAATTAATGACTTGTAAGCCTGCCTATGGGGGTGAGGACAGTTCTAAAATGACAGCTCTCGAAGATCCATAATCTAGAGTAAATTTTTTCTACCTATCCTCCCCCAGTTATAAAAGTTACAGAATTTTGCTGGATGGGATCTGCTGCAGAAGGACAGGAGTTTTTGCAGCCGTGTTTTATTGAAAGACAATGCAGTGCTTCACAGGCTGCATTGGCCCTGAAATAATGGTACTCTTTGAGGATCTGGGTCTTCATAGGGTACCTCATGTGGTTATATCACAGGTAAAATATTTAGGCCAAGGGTCAGCATTGCTAGTGAAAGGGTTAGCTAGCTAGCTTAATTAGGCAGGTTTAGGAAGTTTTAGGAATGAAAATAGTCCATGGGAAGGAATACTTAATAGAGATTTGAAGACGCCAGGGTGTTTATCTTACTTGTACAGAGAATAAAGAAATGCCACAGGCAAATAGAAATATCTCTGGCCTGTGCAATTAAGACAGCCATAAAGGACAGACAGGGGTATCTCGGGCCTGAGCAATTAAAGTGACCATAAGTTAGGCCAAAAGTAGCCCTGACCTGAGTAGCTGGGTGGGCTATAGGGCTTTCTCTGCCAGCACAACTGGGAGAGCTGTAAGATAAATCAAAAGTGACTCCAACCAACAAGGTAAGGAGGAGAGGAGACGGGGACACCACGTGGGCTTTGAGCTTTGAAACTAATTCTATGTAGCCAAAGGGCCAATAAGAAGGGGTCGGATTCAGACAAAGAACTGCAGCCTATTTAATGCTTCAAGACAAAGAAAGCAGCGGTCACCCTTCTCAGGGGCCCCTCTGTCTGTCCAGGAGGGACAGAGTCTTAGGCTTAGAATCTAGAATTAGGGTTTTAGAGGTAGTGTCTGCTTGCAATAGAGTCTCTGTACTTTTCACCTATCACCTTTTGTCCGTGGCTTCATTCTTCAAATCCATCAGGACAAGAACCCGGGAATTCACCTTTACATTCTGCGCAGAGGAAAAACCATGTGTTCCAGTTCAATTTTTGCGTTTCACTAGAGGGGCCTCCTGATCATCTAGTCATCTTCATCCATTTGTGTTGTTAATTAAACAAGGAAGCTTATTAGGCTATGGCTCTAATGCCGTGGCAGCCTACATAAGCAAACCTCTGCCTATAAATGCCTCAAAGGTATGAAATCAGAATGTTAAGGACAACCAATCACAAATAGCCAACTAGGCTTTTATAGCCAATTAAATCATCTCCCTTCTTTGCTTCCGTGCTTTCTCTATATTCATCTTTCCCCTAGCCCCCTGTCTGCAGAGCACTCCTACTTCTAGTTTGACACCGCCCTATTCAAGTAGATACTTGCTTAAAGTCTTAAAATATTTAAAATGCCTGTTTATCTTTTAACAGTTTCATGTCTTTTTCATCTGGATTCTCAAACTCAACAAAGACAACTCAAACTTCAACTCGATGAGACATTGCCCTGACCTTTGGAAAGAAGGGTTTCTGTCCCCAAAGTGGAAAATACGATGTGGTGTGATTCTTAGACTTCTTGGAAGCCTCTCAAATGTGTTTTTCTATAGATTTGGAGAGAACGATTTCCTCGTTGAGGGAAACATTCCACTTTTTTATTTCCTTTTCATCGTTTTTAGAATATGTAACCTTAGAGTAAGAATGCTTATGTTGTCTTGTCTCTGATGAAAAGAGCTCGGGGAGGTACAGAGAAAACTGACTTCCAGAGTGGCCCTGTAGCTTAATGCAGAGGTTCTAGCCCCAGACTTGGTCCTGCAATTGTCTCATGAATAGAAGTTCCCTTACGTGGAACGAGGCCTCTTTAGCTTCCTTGTTGGGCTCATTGCTTGAGGGCAATCTTTAGACTTGTCATCAGAGTGGGTTTTTTGTGTTTAATAGGAGAAAGAGCCTTGGAGCTGAATTTCTTTGGAAGACGAAGGTGAAAGCTGAGTTTCTGAGTTTGCTATTTTGTTTGACCACACTCACCTCCACTGAAACTTAGGTGAGAGAGCATCATCTTCCCATTAGCACTGCCATGGCATTTGGAATTGTAGACATAGTCCTCCTACTATATGTTTTACTCTCCTAAAATGTTAATAGAACTGTGTTTTATATGTTTTATGGATTTTAAGTTAATTTTCTTTTGTATTCTACAAATTTATGTTTTTCTCATTTTGATTATAAACTCCTTAAAGTTAGAGACTTTAAATAATTTAACAAAATATTTATTGAATTCTTGCTTCATGAAAGCACTGTGCTTAACACAGGGTATATCAGGGAGAAAAATTCCTATGCTCAGGGAGCACACAGACTAGATGGTCCCTGACTTATAATGGTTCAACCTAAAACAAGTTTCAGACTCTATGCTCTTGGGCAAGACACTCAACTGCTGTAAACTCTTCAGGAAAAGAGACTAGCCCAGCCGTGGGCAAATTACGGCCCGCGGGCCGGATCCGGCCCGTTTGAAATGAATAAAACTAAAAAAAAAAAAAGACCGTACCCTTTTATGTAATGATGTTTACTTTGAATTTATATTAGTTCACACAAACACTCCATCCATGCTTTTGTTCCGGCCCTCCGGTCCAGTTTAAGAACCCATTGTGGCCCTCGAGTCAAAAAGTTTGCCCACCCCTGGACTAGATTATCTCTAAAAGGACCTATACGGCTCCAATTCCCTGTATCATGAGTCCCTGGGGGGGGGGATTCTGTTTGCTTTTTAAAAAGTTATTATCCATAGGAACTGGGATGGTTAATTTTATGTCACCTTGGCTGAGTTATGGTGCCCAGATATTTGGTCAAGTACTGCTCTAGATGTTTCTGTGAGGATGTTTTTGGGTGAGATTAATATGAACTTTGAGTAAAGCAGATTGTCCTCCAAAATATGGGTGGGCCTCATCCAATCAGTTGAAGGCCTGAATAGAACAAAAGACTGAACTCCTTCAAGCAAGAGGTAATTTGCCAGTAAATGACCTCCAGACTTGAACTACAACATCAGCTCTCTCCTGGGTCTCCAGTCTGCTGGCCTACCCTGCAAATTTTGGACTTGTCAGACTTCATAATCACCAGTCAATTCCTTAAAATAAGTCACATACTATTGGAATATCTATATCTATCTATCTCTCTACATCTATTTATCTGACAATTCAAACTAAAAGCAGGAATATTTAAAACTAAAAATAAATGGTAGTGGAGTGAATAACTAGTTTTGACTCTAGATGTCTTTAGTGATCTTTTAGCAAAAGGTGGAAGGGGCTGTATGTTCAGACTTCTTAACCAGTGTGTGGGGTGAAGAACAGAGTTTGTGGGAGAATGACAAGAACTGAGGCTGAAGAAATAGGCAGGTGAAAAATAGGGGACATATGTAATACTTTCAACAATAAAGATTTTTAAAAATTTTTATAAGAAAAGTAAAAATAAAAACCAAAACAACACAACAATAACAACAAAAAGAAATAAGCAGCTGCCAGGTTATGGAGGACCTTTTGTGCCTATAAGAAATGGGAAAAGTCAGGGAGAGCAGTTAGGAAATGATAATGATTATACAAATGAAAATTAGACCTTGACTTTATTAAGTGGCCAAGGGGACAGGTAAAAAAATAGAACAAGATGTTAACACTGAATCTGCATGATGAGGGAGGAAATAAACTTTAACAATGAATCTGCATGATGAGGGAGGAAATTGTGTTTATGCCTGATGAGCCCTTTGCGTCAAGGTCACCTCTTTTGGTGTCAGACTGAAGGGACAAGTCAAGACAGGAGGTGTAAACAATGCAGTGGAGAAAAACAAGGCTTCCAAATGTAGGCTTAAGCTTTATTAAAAGAATAATTGTGCAATACTGAGATTATAAAAATTGCTTTATTTCAACTGTGAAAATACAAAAACCACATACCTATAAAATGTAAGGGTATTTAAGCATCCAGCTTTAGCTCCTCATAAATGTGATTAAATTTAATTGACACAATATTTACTCATAGTTGGCATAAATATGAAGAGGATTACATTTCTAAAATTTAAGATACAGGAGAAAGGAATACATCCTGTCATGGATAAAAGTACAGAAGTGTAGTGGTCAGTGCCATGGGCTTCCCAACACCCGCTCCATTCCAAAAGATTACTAGCAGACAACTATAGGAATTTCAGTGATGTTGGCAGTGACTGGGAGAATGGCCATGTGGTCCATTCCTGACCAATAATAAGACATGAGGAGACACAGGAGAGGTTTGCCGGGAGAACCTCTGTGAAAGCGTTCTTCAAGTCTGTGAAGGAGACACAGAAAAATTGCTCATCTTCTTTCCCTGGATGCTGCCAGGTCTCCGTGGGTCCATGGAACAGCTGCAGCCATCATGCCACCAGCTTGAGAATGAAGCCAATACTAAAGGTAGCAGAGCAGAGATGGAAAGAGCCTGGTTCCTTACTGAGCTATGGAGCCCTCCATGTTTCTACTTCTTGTAATTTGGGATTTTAAATGTCCTTATTGTTTAAGCCATTAGAATCAGGGTTTTCTGTTACTTGCAGCCAAAACCTCCCCAACTAAAATAAGAACTAAAGGCGGAAAAAAAGTGTAACAGAAGTAAACATGAACGGATGGTGATAATGTATTCAACTAAATTTTCTCCTCTTGGAAAATCAATTTCCCTTATAGTTATTTTTTATTTCATTTAAATTTTACATAATACCTCTGTCAAAATGATTGTCATTAATAATTTTTTAATATGATCACATTCACCATCTGTCTTCTCACATAATATTGTTGACAAAGACAAACAGAACAAAGAGAAGTGGTGACTGATTCTAGCTCTCTATCCAGGTGCAAAGAGATTGTCACTCTTTTATAGACAATTTGGAGGTTATGATAGTAAACTTTTTCTGATGGGAGCCCATGGAGACAGCACATGCAGGAAAGAATCTGACAATCTTCTAGTAACTATTTTTGAAAATAAAAACAACTAAGCACTTTCTTAAAACGAATAATATATCCTTCACTTACTTGCCTCCTGGCTGTATTAGAAACATTCATATACATTTGTAATAACCTTAAATAAAAATATTTCACGTAAAGTACAAGAATAGTGTTTGGCACAAGGTAGCAGTGGTTTACTTAAAGGGAAGAAAATGCTGTGCTAGAGAGTATCCCTGCCCCTCAGCTCCCACTGGTTGATTTGTAATGTATCTGCTTGCATTTATTTCCTGTAGCTTGAGTTTTGCTTTCCTCTTCTCAATACACTTGAAAAATTCAATCTCAAGGCTAGTGTATGCCATTCATTTTCAGAGGCAAGCAGCAACTCTGGCATTCCTTATCACAAAAAACCCATAGGAGAAAGCTGGCAGGCTCAGTGGACTTCCTGGGCTGAGCGGCTTTTCTGTCAAAGCTGGCAGGGTTTGGTCATCCACCATCCTCAGAGTTTTGTCATTGAGCTGGACAGATCTGCAACGTGGAAAGATACATTTAAGTTAACCATGCCGTGTGTGCTCCGCCTGCTCTACAAAAATTGTGAGATCTTTTTAATACCAAAAACTTTTTCTGTGATAGCCTATCCTATCTAATAATAGACAAACACGGTAATTGACCGTACCTTCGCTATGCTTTCCATCGGCTAATCAGGGCAGTATGCAAATTAACTGCCAACAAAGATGGCGGTTAACCACCAACAAAGATGGCAGTTAATTTGCATATGTAGGCGCAATGTTGGGAGGCGAAAGGGGAAGGACGGAAGAAGCTGCCTGCCACTGACCCAGGCAGCAGGCAAGAGCCAAGGCCGCCTTTGCCGGCCCCCCGGCCGGTGTTCGGAGAAGTACCTGTATTTTTTTTTTCAAAGTACCTGTATTTTTAATAATTTCTTGACATGGTAAAAGAATTTTACATTACGATCCAAGGGTGGTGGAGTGAGGATGAGGGCATGAGTGAGGGGGGTTGGGGGGGCAATGGGAAGGATAAGAACACATATGTAATATCTTAATCAATAAAGAAAAAAAATATAAAATATCAAAAAAGCAAAAAGTTACATTAATTATAATTTTAAAAACAGAAAGCAGGGACGTTGTCATATGAATGTTTTTTATCTAAAATAGTGAGACAAATTACTTTTTAAAAGCATGAAAATAAAAGATTCTTGCATTAAAAAAGATCTGATATTCTAAGCCAATGTTTTTGGCCTCCTTTCTGGACTAAAACTACTTATGAAAAGAAATGTGCAAACATAGATAATTTAACAAGTCTCTCAGGTATTGTAATTAATAGGAAGCTACTAGATTGAAATGAAACAAAATAATGGAGGTAGAATGAAGAGAATTGTGAATAAGTCCATTATCTTAAGATCAGATGTATAAGTAACACCAATATCCTACTGCTAATGTGAGCACTTGTTCTGATCACCTAGTTTATTATACATTTGTAGATTTCTTTATTAGTGTTTGTTCTTTTCTATTTGATTTAACATAAAACACTTTGTTGTGTATACACTGTTAAACATTTGTCTTTGCTGATTACTAAGAGCACTCAAATCTGGTAATATATTTACATTAGAGTGCTGGTTTTCAGCCTTCACAGCAGATTTTTGCTTCTATGAAAATTATGATCTAAAACAAAATGATACCACTTGCTGCCATGCATTTAAAAGCAGCCTAAAGGCGAAAGCTGCTAGAGCCTTGCACAGAGAGACAAATGCCATTTCTCTTCCCTCACACTGAAACATCTCTTGTGTTCCCTTGGATCTATTCATGAAAATTGTTGGAAGAAATCATTACATGGAACTAAGATGCTGGGTGTGAATTGATTTCTTATATAAAAATTAACTACTGAGATTTTTTTAAAACTAAGTTTTATTGTGGCGATCATTTTGCAGTATATAATGAATATCAAATGATTGTGTTGTGCCCCTGACATGATCATGTTGTCAATTATACCTCAATAAAAAAACTGTCTAAAAATAAATCAAATATAATAAAAGCTAATATGCCAATTGTCCCCTCGAATAGGAGTTCGACCACTCCCTATGATGTGCACTGACCATCAGGGGGCAGCACAGAACATGGGGGGGGGTGTTGGCGACATGGTGCTGGCAGCAGGCAGCAGTGATGTCGGCCCTGATGGGCCCTGGCAAGAGCGGGACCACAGCAGGATGATGGAGCAAGTGAGCAGGCGGTGCCAGGCCAAGGCGGGTGAGAAGGGGGTGGGGGGGCCTCCTGCAGACTGCGACCAGCGGCTGCAGTGGCTGAGGGAGCCAGGCGGGGGGGACCAGCCCCAATCGATCACCCCACAGGCAGGATGGTGGAGCAGGTGAGGGGGCAGTGCCAGGCCAAGTCAGGGTGCCAGGTGGGCCTGCGGGGCTGCGAGCCTGGGGGTGCAAGCTGTGGTCCAATCCCCGCAGGCCACCCCGAAGGACCGCACCTGTGCACGAATTTGTGCACCGGGCCTCTGGTATTACATAACTTGTGTTTCCACACTCTTATCAGTTAGGTATTTGACCTAGATGATCTTCAAGGTACAATTGAGTAGTTGTGACAGTGACCATATGGCCTACAAAGCCTGAAGTATTTACTGTCTGGGCCTTTACAGGAAATGGAACACATGTGATCTATATTAGTCTATAAAATGGAAGTACAAAAAGGATAAACATGACATAACTTCTGGATTTGTGGAAATTTTATTTTATGGCAAATAGTGGAAAATATTTTATATAGGGCAAATAGATATAATGAATGGAATATAAATTTCACATTTAACATAAAAAAATTACAGTAATTAAAAGTTCCCACTGGTAACTATGCCCATAGCCCTCTAACTCCCTTCTCCCCAGGAGATATACATTTACTTTCTATGTTGTGAAGATATTTTGGTAGAATGTACGTTGCTGGGTAAAACAAAATTATTTTATTTGGCTAAACCACAGACTAAAAACAAATTATGTTTTCTTTGCATTTCACTGTGGAATTCAAATTCAAAACTGAGTTAAATATTGGAAAAACTTGTTAAGCACAAGTGTTATTTCTCATGCATATTTGCTATTATTTAAATCAAATGAATACATGCTCGCAGCAACAAATCCAATATAAACAAGAGCATATGAAGAAAGCTTTAGTCTGCTTTTAGTTCTACTAATAACTACTTCCATAAGTCTAAATGATGTTTATATCTCTATTATCTTTTTCTCAAGTGATTTTTATATCATGAATAAAGTTAGTACTTTTTTACTGTAAAAATTTAGAGTATTAGTTCATGTCAGAGTTACATATATGTCATATATGTAATACATGTAGAACACTTTAAAGAGTATGTTGCATGTGGTAAGTGCTGTAAAAGTATCATATCATCATTATTCAGAAACAAATATAACAAAATTAACCTGTTAAATCATCCAAACTATTTTTAGTATTTTGATGTATATTCCTTCATCTCTTTTCTGTGTATGTATAATACATATTTTCATTTAAACAAAATGAGTACATACTGTACACAGTCTCTTAAAAATCGACTCTTCCAAAGAGGACATACAGATGGCCAAGAGACATGGAAAGATGCTCAATGTCACTAATAATTAGAAAAACGCAAGTTAAAACCACAATGAGATACCACCTTGATCCTGCTAGAATGGCTATCATCAATAAATCAACAAACAACAAGTGTTGGCGAGGATGTGGAGAAAAGGGAACCCTTGTGCACGGTTGGTAGGAATGCAGATTAGTGTAGCCACTATGGAAAAACAGTATGAAGGGTCCTTTAAGAATTAAAAATGGGACTTTTTTACAACCCAGTGATTCTACTCCTGGGTATATATCCAAAGAAACCCCAAACACTAATTCAAAAGAATCTATAAACCTCTATGTTCACTGCAGTGTTATTTACAATAGCCAAGATATAGAAGCAACACAAATACCCACTGATAAATGATTGGATAAAAAAGTAGTGGTACATATATGCAATGGGATATTACTTGGCCATAAAAAGATGAAATCTTACTATTTGTAACAGCTTAGATGATATTAGGCTAAGTGAAATAAGTCAGACAGAGAAAGACAAATACCATATGATTTCATTTATATGTGAATCTAAAGAACAAAATAAATGAACAAACAAAATAGAAACAGACTCATAGATACAAAGAACAGACTGATGGTTGCCAGAGAGGAAGGGGGTTGAGGGACTGGGTGGAAAAGATGAATTTAAAAGTACAGATTGGTAGTTACAAAACAGTCACAGGCATATAAAGTACAGCATAGGGAACATAGTCAATAATATTATAATGAGTATGTATGGTGCCAGGTGGGTACTGGAATTATTGGGGGGAACCCTTCGTAAAGTATATCATTGTCTAACCACTATGTTGTATACCTAATACAAAATAATATGGATGTAAACTGTAATTGAAAAAATAAAATTAAATAATTTTTAAAAATTAAAAAAACTTGATTGTTTCTCCCTTAATTATTATAAATATCTCATTTTTAAAGATCTCTTAACCCTCTATCCTCCCTAAGTATCAGTCAGCAGAAAAACTGCATCCCATTTAATCTTGGTCAGAGGCCCAGTTCTGGGCTCTGTACTTTAAGACATATCCTCCCATTCCGTGTGCCAGTATGTAAAGATGCTGTGTATAAAATACTGGGATCAATCAACGTGTCCAACTACAGGCGATTAGTTAAATAAATCATCTAATCTTAAGAACTAAGCAGGTCTGAATGTGCTAATGTAAAAAGACATGGATGTTTTTAAATGAAAGATACTTAGGCTTATATATGGATAGCACACTTCTAGAATGATACTCAAACTCCTGGGAGTGGGACTGTGGAGTGAGGAGTGAGGAAATGACTTTTCTATGTACACCTTCTTCTACTGTTGGAAATTCTTACTATGGCATACATTTTATCATAATCTTTTAAATAAAAAAGGAAAAATAACTAAAAATAAGAGATATGAATAAGATGTTCATGAGCCCTAACTGGTTTGGCTCAGTGGATAAGAGCATCGGCCTACGGAATGAAAGGTCCCAGGTTCAATTCCGGTCGAGGGCGCGTACCTTGGTTGTGGGCACATCCCCAGTGGGGAGTGTGCAGGAGGCAGCTGATCGATGTTTCTCTCTCATCAATGTTTCTAACTCTCTATCCCTCTCCCTTCCTCTCTGTAAAAAATCAACAAAACATATTTAAAAAAAAATAAAAGATGTTCATGACTGTGCTGGAGGCTGAGAAGCCCACATTGCAGTTATGCCCAGTCCACATGCACTGGGGTTTGTTTTCACACCTGCATCACACCAGTTTTTTGATGGGCTCTAGGAGGAAATGCTGTGACTATGATCAGGAAATCACAAACAAAAATAGGTCTTGAAAACATCTTTACGTGACAGTAGTAAGAGCTGTTTGGCACAATGATGAGCACCTTTTACAAGGGTACACCAAACATTTCAGAAACACTTTTGAATAGGCAGCAGA